GTGTGTACGTGTGTGTGCATGTGTGTGCGTGTGTTTATGTGTGTGTGTTTATGTGTGTGTGTGAGTGTGTGTGTTTATGTGTGTGTGCATGTGTGTGTGTGTGTGTGTGTGTGTGTGTGTGTGTGTGTGTGCGCGTGTGAGCGTATGTGTGGTGTTTTGAGGGTAAGGAGTGCCTAGTGAGCGCTCGAGCTTGTGTGTATGATAGTGAGTGTGTATGTGCGTGTGTATGTGTGTTTGTACAGGATGTAAACAAACTAAACTTCTATTACATACACACTGCAGACATGTTACAGACGGTTTTACATTTCAGTTATGTAAAAGTCGTACATGAGGTACAAGATAAACTAAACTAACAGGGCCATAATATCAGACGAGCAATAATAACGGGCATAACGAATAAAAAAAGACAAGCTATTGAACATAGACTACTTTTCTTTACCTGATAGACGTAAATAACAGTATAAAATCGACGACTGCAAAGATATAATATACCATTTAACTGTTGAAACACAGAAAATGTCTACAGCAGTTAAAAATTTTTTTTTTTAAAAACGTGACAAAGACGAAACAGGATCTTTCAAAAACATTCACACAACCAGCCCCTGTCAGCACGGCTAAAAATATTTTTTAAGCTGTTACAGGCAATGACTAAGGTAGTTCTCAAGGGACAAAAGAGGCAGATGTGTACTGCAGTACTCTCAAAAGCTCGTAAAACGTTCAAGCTTGAGATTAAACTATAGTTATTCATTCTATCAGATTTTGTTGTTGCAAAGCAGTGTATCGAAGAAAAAACAACTCCGCACTGAAAAAAAATCAATCGACTTAAATTAATACAATAAAGTTTAAGCTTAAAATTATTTTCCCTAAAGGCAATCTGTACAAACAAAACAGTAACTAGAACGAAAAAACGAAAAAAAATATAAGAAAAATGATAAAATATAAAGCAATCTACTCCAAGACAATACAAAAAACAAAGACTGCGCACGGGTAAAAGAAAATACAAGGTACATGTATTCAAAGCAGCAGTTTCTTAATGTGTGATTCCCCTTCCCAATTTGTTTGTGAAATAAATGATAAAACATTTGATTCTAAAAACAAAACACCCCCCTCCCCCGCCCTCACCCAAACCACCGCCTCGAGAAGGAACAGCAGGAAGAAAACACATTACACAAACACCTTTGCAGGCATTCGTGGTCTACACACTATCCCAGCTTTATTACACTATGTCTGAGAATAGCTTCCATTCACGCGTCAGTAAATGAGTTACTCAACAGACCGTAGGACCGACCGGTAATGTTCTACAAAGACAACTTTGTCACCCGAGCTGCCAGTGCATACTGTGGACGCCTCGAAGATATTGTACAGCTTCCGGACATAGTGTGTGCACACCTAAAGAGAGGGTAGACACTTATCCGTATCAGAACAGCGGCAAGCTACATTGTGATTTATAGGCAGGGGACGTGTTACGTTCCCAT